TACTTTACTTTATTTAATTTAAGAATATATTCCTCTTTGTACTCAGAAGATTCAGTTTTACTAAATAAACTGTGTTCAGTTTTTGTTCTGAAATGTTAGATTATTAATCTGATAAACAAAGCAAAACGTGAATACTTGTATTATTGTCAAAGGGTATAAAATTGTTGGAGCTGCATTTTTCTTTTCTTTTCTTTATTTTAGGGTAATTAATTGGATTCAAATGCATTTTTCTTTATAATAATATCTAGTAATTAAATAGTCGATGTTGAATTAGGATTTGCATAATCTGTCAACTATAAGATTTCAATTCACAATCTTTGTTTATTTTAATTCCATATTTAATATTATGAAAGCCAGTCCGACTCAATTGATAAAAATCATCCGATAGCCAATTCAACTGACAACCGATGGATCGAACATATTTTTGTCTATCATGCATTGGATACCATTTCACCATTTTCATTTTTACTAGTTGACTTTCTCTTCATACTAATGAATTATTATTATTATTTTTTCTCAAACAAGTAGATTGTTTTTATTTCTATATTTATCTAATTAAGGGCCATTTTTGTTTGTAGTGTTATCTAAAAAGTGTTTATTATCAATAAATTTATTTTTTTCATTTTTGTCTCCAATTTGACACTCTAATTCTTGACTCATTCTTCTTTCTAGATTGATATCCTATCCGATTTTTAAAATATTGACCATATTAAGACCATGTTGGAGCCCTATTTGTTCGCCCAAAATGCATTTTAGAACAGTATTTTGATGAAAAATGTGTGATTAAAAAATAAGAAAAAATTTTTGGTTTGCATGTAATATTATTTTAGTGGAAATTAAAGATTCTAATTGATTAAAAATCCTCATTTTATAAATAAGATGTCATGTTTAATATTTCACAAATCAGAAATTTTTTTAATTAATTAATATATTTAAAAATTAATCTAATAAATAATAATTTCAAACCCTAATTAATTATTCTCCACTTTCATTTCCCCCTACTCCCGATTCTCTCTCTATCACATCTCTCTCTCTCAACTGCCCGACGATTGGAGAACCGACGATAGAAAGCTGCTTCACTGTAGCGTTGCCAACCAATGGAGGAGCTGTTCCGTTGCAGCGTCGACGAACTGGTGGCGATCTGAGGAGATCTCACAATCGGAAGAACTGCCCATCGCGATCTGTCGTGGATCTATGGTGGTTGGGATGGTGTGTGTGCAGCGGCGGTGTATGTGCGTGGCTGTGGTGGTGTGTGCAGCGAGGGTGGTGTGAGGCTGCGGTGGTTTTGTGTGAGACGACTGTAAAGGTGTGTAGTGGCGTGATGGTAGATCTGGTGGGTGTGCAGGGCAGTGGGGTTTGGAGTGGTGGCCGATAGCAGGGGTCGTGGCGATGGTAATGGTGAGATATTGGTGGTTGCAGGTCGTGGTGGTGACGGCAGCAAGGTGGTGGTGCTGTTGGTATTTAGAGAATTGATGATGATGTTGGTCGTGGTCGTGGTGGTAGGGCGATGATTTTTGGGCGGTTGTGATTTGTTCGTTTTAGTTAAATCTGGCGGCGTAGTGGGTTTCGGTGGCAGTAGAGGAGGTGGTGTTGGCCGCGTTGGCAACAGTGCTAGCTGTGCTGAAAATTGTGACCGTGATTCCCAATTGTGACTCGAAATTGGATTTGTGACTTCTTATTGTAACTCCCAATTGTAACTCACACTTTGAGAGTCATAGTTGGTCGTGACGGTGGTTGTGGTGGTCATGACAGTGTTCGTGGCGGTTTGGTTGATTTGTGATTCACAATTAAATACGTGATCTGATAATTGTGACTGTGACTCACAATTGCATACGAAACCTGAAAATTGTGATTGTGAATCGTAAGTATTGGTGGCAGTCACAAATTATTTGGTTGATTGTGATCATTAAATTGATTAATCTGTGACCAATGAAAAAGATAAATTGTGACCGAAAAGTAAGGTATGACCTAATAAATTGTTAATCTGTGACTGATAATTTGATAATTTGTAACTGTATAATAAGTTGTGACTGGTAATATTTGTGATTTGTGACCAATAAAGAAATCGTGACTTAGATTTTTCGATTTGTGATCGATGAACAAACCATGACCTATAAATTTTTTGAATTGTGATCGTAAAATAATTTATAACATAAAATTTCTAATTTGTGACCAAAAAATAATAAGTGACGAATTAAATTGCTAATTTGTGAACAAATTATATAAATTTGTAACTTAAATATATTTAATTTCTAAATTAATTAATTAATTAATTATTTAATTATAAATAGTTTTTAATAAAAATCTGATTTTTGAAATTTGAAACTTGTTTTATTGTTTTTGAAATGTATCATAATTAGTATCTTATTTATGAAATTTTTCCATTATTTTATTTATGAAGAATGTGTAATTGAAAATAAGATAAAGAAAAGTGTATTTTGTAAATAATGGAGACCAAACAAGAGCTAAATCAATTTATTTAAAAATTCAATATATTAAAGAAAAAAATTATAAATTATATGATACATTGGATAATTACCAACTTGAAAAGCTTTCGACATCGTCGTAGGACATAAAATTAATATCCTATAGTGTGCCTAGACATACTACAAACCAGAAGCTCTCATTTATTTCTTTTGATTGAAAAGTGCTGTCACATTAATTATTAATACACAAAAACGAGGGCCCTAAAGTTAGTCGCACCCATCCTTGCTTTCAACACAATGATTTTGAGACTTGAGACACTCTTCATAGCTTTGTAGCTTTCACCATATCCCCCATTATATATCCCTGTCACCTTTCCAAGCACAATAACTCCCCCACTCGCCCCCGTCTCACAGCTTTTCAGGATTGGGATACGAGTAAAATGGGATAGGTAAAAGAATGAACCAATAAAATCTTACACTATTTAGATATGAAAAGTTATAAAATTACTTTTCATAATCACCCGAATTCATCTTCAAACCGACCCAACCCGACACGAACTAGGTCAGGTTTTTGGGTTTCAATTTTTGTACCCACCCCTAGTTCCGAATAATTTGGAATAATCTCATACTAGAGAACACTACAAAAACACAATTTATAAACAATAATTATTATTCCCCGTATAATCTTTGTTAACCCATAAATATTATGATGACGCACATACCTGCGATTACAGTTGCATCTTTGCGAGCAGATGAAGTTTGAAATGAACACAAAAAAAAGCACGAGACAATAATGGAGGCTGAGGTTGAGGCGGAGGCGGACAATCCAGGTTTAGCAAGTGAAAGGAGGAGACGACTTTGGGCTTCAAATTTGGTATGGGAGATTTCCAATTTTAGGTTTGTTCGTGGATCAGGTCGATTTGGGTAAAACCACAACTTGGATCGTGAATTGATCTGAATCAAATTACTCTAAAAGACATAATCACTAGACCCGACCCAACTCAACATGAACCAGGTCGGGTCAGGTCGAGTTTTCAGGGTTTCAATTTTTTTGCCCACCCCTAGTTATAATTATCATGTAAGAATTTGGACATCACTTTTTAGATGAAAATTTAAAAACTCAACATGATATTACAACTCAAAAAGCGATAATGAGAAATTCGATTGAAGCTCAAATGCATAGTTAGATTTCAAGAAGGGGTCTTCTTAGATGAGTTGTTATCTTGCAGTTAGTCACGTTAGTTGATCAAGATACATGATATCAGGCAAATTAGCCATTTCCTTCCGTGTGCATTAGGCAAGAGAGATTGGAAAGGTAATGTCCCAAAGAGAAGAAAAGTCAAGGGTACAATGTTCTTTGACATTTTCACAGCTTTTTCTAAAGAAAAAGCAAATATTGGACCACAACATAACATGGTTAGCACATGAAATAATTAAAGTAATGAGACATTCCAAACGGGACTTGCTTACTTTTTAGCTACCTCGTCCTCTCTTATACTTTTAGCTTATAAAATTCCTCTTTGTTTATTATATTATTTCGACTTTTCTTTCGCATTAAATTTATATATGTCTAGTACCAACTTTTAAATAGACTAGATTTGATAAAGTCTTAGACATTGTCATGCGGATTGAATTGTCTAACCAATCTTTAAGATATATAAATGTATCTTTTCAAATATGATCGACTAGACTCTTTTCTAGTACGTCTGCAAAATAAAATTTTGGTACAACTTAACTTTGATCCGGCATTTGGAAGCCAATGCTTGTGGACCATTGTTAGGGGTGGAAGCTTCAATGGTTTTCTAAAGATGATGTTAGGTCCACGTTAGCCAACATCCCATGTGAGAATTTGAGCTTTCTTTTAAAGAGATACAAAAATCCAAGTGATTACTTAAAGTTAAGCACATTTATTAAGCCCCTAATGTCGTTCTCGAGGAAGCTAAGCACTTTTTGCTCGAAGAGTTGCATGAGTCAACACACGGTCTACTCTAATTTGACATGAATGCCACTATGATATTTTCTTTAATGCAATATGTAGTTTTATTACCCTACAAAATTCTTTTATACAAGCTTATAACTTCAACTAAACACGCTCCAAGTCTTTATGAATTTGTATCATGTTAAGTGTTGAACCAATTTTTGCTTTAGCCCCCGTTTGTTAACAATTTTTCATTTCTAAAATCAATTTTTTGAACGTTATTTCATTATTTTAGCCGTCATTTTAGCTTTTTCACTCACAAATAAAATTTACTTTTCTCTCTAACCATCAAAAAATCAATTCTCATAATCATTATCGAACAGACCTTTAATGTGAACATTGAGTTTGACGTTTAGTCTTCTTTGAACAAGCAAAACTTCGTATAGTTTGTGGATAAGCTAGGTCTCGTACTCTCTTTTAACTTAGCTTTATAAGTAACATGTTCGTTCGTAAAAATTGTGGATGAAAAGTAAAAATTATATTATTTTTATCCTAGATATTCCATCCATCAATTAAATGCAATTTTATAAAAGAAAAATCCGTTAGAAAAAATCCAGATCATCTTACTCAAAAATTTCGACCTCTCACTCTCTCTCTCTCACTCATAAATAAGCAGCGCTGCGCAGGTTACCCAACTCGAATGAAACGGCAACAATACAAACAGAGATTCACCATCCTATAGAGGGAGAAAGTAAATCCAAAAATATGTGGAAAGAGAAACCTCTGATCGCTCTCTGTCAATCTATGTGAACCGCATATACATACATACGTATACGTATACGAATACAAATACTATATTCATTATATATATATATATATATGCACATAGCTATACATTGATATAGAGAGAAATTTTCGAGTTTTTTGTTAATGTACAACGGATCTTGAAACCCTAAAACGGAGAAATCTTCAATAAACTGTTCAAGAAAGCGCTCATTGGTCCACTTTTCATATTTCGGGGAAATGATCGCGATTTCACTTCGCATTTAAATTTTGGTTTGGTGCATTCGTAGGAGTTGGTGAAATTAGTTATTTGAACGTATTGAGAATTTTTTTCTGGTTCGGATTGGAAATTTCGGGAAATTTATTGATTGAGAACAGAGTAATAATAGAGGAATGGATGATAGAGGAGGAGATGGTGGTGGATCGTTTGTGGCCGTGAGGAGAATTTCGCAAGGTCTTGATCGAGGGAACACTTGCCATTCTACCTCTGGTATATTCCATTTTCTTGAACTTTCCATCTTTCCATATATTTTTTTGTTTCTCTCTCTCTCTCTCTCTCTCTTCACTTTTCGTCAAACTTCATATCCACGTCTGTGTATTGCACGCGTGGGAGTGTCTCTATACACATATATGTATGTATAACTGTATGTGTGCATACTGAAGATTCTGGAGTTCTGGATCTGTGAATTTGAAATTAGGCTAATTCATGCTTACTTGCTTCGAGATTCTTGGTAAGTTTCTATAAATTATTCTGACTTTTGTTAGGAATTTTTTTGGTCTCTTTCTGTTTGTATATATTTTTTTTAATTCTTTAATTTCAATTTTAATTTTTAATTTTTTGTATTTAGTAAATGTATTTTTGTTGCTCAAGGTCTTTTCTGTCACTGAATAACTGTGCGTCGAGGTGATAATACACACTTATTATATGCTTCAGGTGCATAAAATCGTATACGCGTGCACTTCCGTTTTTAATTTGATAGATCATAAATTGTGCATATTGTCTATGAAATAGTTCTTGCCTCATGTATTGGACTGATGCATAAAAACACAAACTATAATTTTCCTCTAAATATTTTGTTTGCGAGACTTTAGTTGTTGATAGAGCTAATGTTGCCTTATTTCAATTATGATAGTTAACTACACTTTGTCATACACGATTTACTTAACATTTTTTTTACACGTTGAGAGGACAAAATAATTGTAGTATTACTGCATAAGCTTGAAATGTAGTAGTATGTGACAGAACCACTTTTTCCTTCTTATTCTGTAGCTGTAATACAATGTTTTTTTAGCTATGTTTGCACTGATGAATGGGTGGAGCATTTGCCATTAAGCTGCACATTACCATTTTGTATTCATCTGCAGTAAGAGAAGAGAGCATTTGAACACTATATGATTTGGGTTTTGGATCTACAGTACGTTACTTCTCTCGCATAAAATGTTAAAATATCTTAATGTCTTATTTGTTTTTTGCAAGATTGATGTTTACAGAGTCATTTCCGTATGCAGTTTATTTTCCATATAATATGTGATTCCTCTAAAAATATGATTGCAGGACATTTGTTGGAGGTTAAAGCATAATTATGTCATAGTACCCTGTATATCTAGCCAAGCCGATTATTTTTACTTTTTGCTATTGTATGTTATGATTCAGACCTAAATGATATGAATTCTCTTTGAAAGCTCCCCATCGTTGAGATTTTAGATTTTGAGTTAAAATGGTTTTAAGATATAACTGCGGTATGTACTTTTTGGAGGGAGTTGACTGTTAATTTATTTTTTTTATAGGTCTTTAGTTCTTAGCATAGCTTATTTAATCGTATTCTTTCTAGAGAGAATTCTTGATATGCCCATTTCTTTTGCCAATAATTTTCTTTTGCCGATTTTTGTTATAGTGGAGGTTGTGGCAGGATCGGCGGCATGGCTAGGTAGAGGCCTTTCTTGTGTTTGCGCTCAGAGAAGAGAGAGTGATGCTCGCCCATCATTTGATTTGACCATTTCGCAGGTAATTTTCTGGTTGGTTTGAGTTCTTTGAAAATTGTTTTATGATACTTGTCGAGGTCAATTTGTGGGATAGCACGTGGTCTAAAGCAAGTCTCATTTGGACATCAATGTATGATATTATTGACTAGACATTTGATCTATTTGGCTTTTACTCTCCAAACCAAATTGATGAGTTGCCTTTATGTGTGTATCTATGTATGCATGCATGCATCAAGTCCTCATTCCTGCTTAAGTTTGTATCTGAACAAATGAAACAACTAAAGTGTGGTCTATGAAGATTGATTTAATGCAGTGAATGAGAACATTTCTTCTTTCCTTTTCCTTCCCATTTTGGGTTTTTTTGCCCCCTGTTTGATTAATCATCTTTTGTCCATGATTATATAACTTAAGCCATTAGCTCTTGATGTTTCATTTCAATTTGTGTGTCAGGAGGAATGCCTACAGAGGCTACAGAGTCGAATGGATGTTACCTATGACAGTTCTCTTCCTGAACATCAGGTACGGTGTAGGGATATGTAATGCATGTTTTTGATAATCATTCTGGACAGTCAGAGAAGCCTCTCTTATACTTTAGATTAAATTTGAACTTAGAGTAATGCTTCTCTTTCTCAATAAGTAAGCCTTTGTCTATAGGAAGCTCTTAGGACACTGTGGAATGCAGCCTTTCCCGAGGAAGAACTCCAAGGTTTGATATCTGAGCAGTGGAAAGAAATGGGTTGGCAGGGAAAAGATCCATCTACAGACTTCCGGTACACCATTTTTTTCTTCAACTTTCTTCATATCTGATGCAGTTTTAACTATAACTGTCATGGTTGTTATGCCATGGGTTTGTAACCTTCAAATATGATGTGCTCTATCAGGGGCGGTGGTTTCATATCTCTAGAAAATTTGTTATACTTCGCCAGACATTTCCCAGTATGTCCATCCTATCTCTCTGTATGTGTGTGATCTTGATAATGTTTGCTTTTCTGTCTAATTTGTTTGATGCTTACTTATTATGAACTTTGGTGTGCCAATTACCTGAGAATGGCAACTCACTGATTATGAACCCTTGACTGGTCTTTTTTTCTCTGTATCATATGATTCTGCATGTCGAGAAGAATAACTGTGGTAGTAATCACGATTACTCTCTTTTACAGTAAATGTAAGCAAAATTGTTGCTTCTGTATGATTCAATAGCTGCCACAAAATTCATGGTATTATTATCCACTGCTCACCTGAACTGGTTTGAATATAATTTGTTCTTTACTTGGAAATTGGATCCTAGGCTTCATTTTCATAACTTCTTGCTCTGGATTTTCCTCTCTCTCTCATGGTCTTGTTTCTTCTAACTAATATTAAGGTTACTTGCTGGGCTGAAGTAAATTCAATTTAGATCTTTGAATTGGTTTAACTGTTAGTTCAAACATAAAAAACTTTCTTTTGCTTTGATTTTGGAATATTGGGGTAGAAAGCCTGCATATTGGTTCCTGTTGGCTTTTGTGAGGAAAGTTCTTCAGGAGCAGAAACATATTAAAATAAGAGGTGGCTTTATGTCACATGATATGCAGGTTGCTTTTATAGAGGTTAAGGAACATTTGTGTGTACATTCATACAACCTTCCTCCTTGGCATTGGATTCATTTCACATTTATATGTGGGTTTATGAGTCCAAAATTCTGTCCACAGTTGTACCATAATTTTTTGCTCACCAGAGACTTATTTTCGCTTTCCTTTTTGTGGGATGGATATGCACGTCGTTGTTTGCTCTCTATCTTTTTAATCTTTTTTCCACAGAAATCTTTTCAGGATCTTCTTCGAAAGCAGGAAGGTGATCGGGCCTTGTGGGAATACCCTTTTGCCGTGGCTGGTGTCAACATCACATTTATGCTAATTCAGATTCTTGATCTTGAAGCAGGTGAATTATTATTTTATTTTTTTATTTTTTGAATCTTGTTGGATGTTTTGGCAGGAAAGGACTACTATGTGACCAAATAACAAGTTTTGTGATCGTTTTATCTTTATTGTGGTTACTGTCAAATGGACTCAGCTCCTTTAACATCTTCTCGACCCCCCAAAGAAAGAAAAGATAAATAAAAATAATCATCAGATCCAAGATTGACCTTTGTGGTAATGGAAATAATCTTTCATCTAGATTTATTATAATTGACGAGTTTGGATCAAATGCTGATGTTTTGGTTTTATTTTTTTGCGTTGCCACACTTGTTTGTAAACAGTGGCTCAAGTATGGATCTGAGGATGTGTTTGATTGCATTTATTTTTTGTGGAAAATTTCAGTTTTCCATCCAAATTCTTACTTTGAAGTGTTTGATTACTATTTTCTTTCATTGATAATATTTTTCAACTTTTGAAAATATGCTTAATATTCCTTGTTTTTAAAGAAATTAATTTCTTTGGGAGTAGGTTTTGTTTTTCTCAAAATAAGGAAAATATTTTGTTTTCTAGGTGATATTTTCCATGCCAATCAAACACGCTCTAAATTTCTTCTCCTTAGCTCTTGGCAAATGCTTTTCGGAGATATGAATAAATTGCAAGAACGCAGGCAATAGCTTTCCAGATTTCACTTACACGTGAACACAAACATATTAGCAAAATCCTGAATGACGACTCAGAAAATAATCCCACTACATACATGAAATTTTTAATCATGATATTTGTCTATAAGAGGACATCTTGTCTTACCATTGCAGTGAAGCCTAGAACGTTGGTAGGAGCAACCTTCTTGAAATTTCTTGCAGGTACTAAGCTCCACTCTCACCTTACCATATAAAAGCTCTAAATGTTAATGTTTGATATTGAAAAGAAGTCTGAATGTTTTTTATGTTCTTCTGCTCATCAGATTAAGTGAGCAGATATTCTAGGTGCCCATTTGATTATTTTTTCATATGGATAACTCACAAATTTAACAAACATTACTTTGTTTCGTAAAGGGAATTTGTTTTTTGCTTGATGGTGCTTACTAGTAAATTCTTCCTGCTTTTGTACCTGACAGAGAATGAATCAGCATTTGACCTTCTATATTGTATCGCATTCAAGCTAATGGATCATCAGTGGTTAGCCATGCATGCTTCCTACATGGACTTCAATGTACGTTTCTCCTTTTTGTTTATGCGATTAAAAATAGTGTGAAAGGGCACATTTTCTTCTGCTTGCATCCCATCCATCTTCTGCGGTGCTGTAGAAATTTCTGATGTTTAGGTTTTGATCACTCAAAATAGGACTTTAGAAAGTGCATTGGGACGGGAAATGATACATATGGTGGTGTTAATGCTTAAATGGGTTAATGTACGAAAATGGCAATAAGCTACAACTGCTTTACTGATCTCATTTGCTGAGGTTAGGTCAGCCGTTTCTACTTGAGATACCCACAGATAATGATCTTATTGTATTTAGACCCTATGCACTCGTTTGTTATTTTTCGCGAAACGATATGGCTATTACCATATCATTTGAGTGATTAGAACAAAATTGAAAAAATATGTAAATTTCTTGTAATGTCCTTGTATTAAATTTATCTCTACAGTTTACCGTCTTCTCATCAAACTTTTGTAACTTTTAAACAGTGGCATGTTTATGATTGTCCTTTACATTTTCTTCTGCTTACATTTTATTGCGAATGATTCCATTATACCGTTGTTTTTTTGTCCGGTTGTTCACTCAAGACTGTGATGAAAGCTACTCGTCGTCACCTGGAAACAGAGCTTCTGCAAGAAAACATTACACGCCTTGAAGACTTGCCCTCATACAGCCTTCTTAGTCGATAGTACAATAATTGTAACATTTTTGAAAGACCAATGGCCTTTTTACGATAGATTTGCCATCTAATGGATTGCTTCTACTTAAGTTCTGTCGTGGGTATTGCTCGTTTTTAGTGCTTTAACTAGATTGTTGCTGAGGCGATGTTATAGAGTTGTAGGCCATTGTGCTTTGTTGCAAGTCTGGATGAAAATGAAAGAGTATTTGAATGACTTTATTGCCATGCTTTAACGACAGAATTTATCCAAATACGAAGTGATTTGAATTTGTTCTTGCTGCAAAGCTTCAAGGAGCAAAATAATTTTCAGTGACCTGCTTGATCAATTAATATATCAACAGACAACAGGTTGAGGTCTTACGGACTTCATCTTTTTGTTCACTTTTAAAAGGAGTAAAGGGGTAAAAGTTCATATGCCAAGTGATTGCAGCCAGAAATTGCAGACGTAGTCATTGGGTATCTGCAAAGACAACCCCCAGTTGACTATGCGATGAATATTGCAATTATGGATAGTGATTATGAAATTGTTTCAAGAGGATCCGGAACAAGAAGGTTTACAAAATTTAAATTTGACATCAACACTTGAAATTTGCAGCTACAACTAACAATAGCAAATGAGCCATCAATGTAATTCTATCTCAATATAATGAAGCATTTTATTTGTCAATCCAAGAGTGAACGCTGCTCTTCCATTCGGCAATTCCTTCTAGCAAGCAAAGAGCAATCTCCTTCCTTGCACTCCCACAACTTACTCACTACCGTGAATTACTTTCTGGCAAAAGGTTATGGATGTTCGGACCTTTCTATAACAGGCAATACTGAAGGACGTCAATACCACGTCTGAACTTTGATAGTGCCAATATTGGTTCTAATTGCACGTCAAATAGATACGAGCAATTTCATGAATTCATCCATGATCTGTTGCTTACAATAACAAGTGTCCCATTAAGAGGGGCTGCACATATTGGTAATGGTTACTGATAGTCCCTCGTTCACTCCACCTAGCAAAAACTGCAAAAACTTGGCCTAGTACTCTAATGGCAGGCTTTCATGAACCAGTGTTTCTTGGTAAGTCCCTCGGTTTGTTTGATTGATGATACTCGTTGAAAAGAAAACCTGATTTTGCCTGCAGAACAGCCATGGAGAAGTTTCAAAAGGTACACTCATTTCTTTGTCAACTTAATGGATGATAAACTGCAGAGCGACATCCTTTGTCACAGAACGAACTTGGCTAATTTCACGTTACGTTAAACTTCACAAAGTAAGAACTTCGAAGTGTCGAGACTAGTGGTGATCACCAATAATCTCTACAGGAGCATGCTCCATTCTTGAAATGGTGGAACCTGTGCATATCACGCACAATTATTTCTCGTTTAGTCACAAGTGAAATGTATTTGGTTGCATCGTGGCAATCTCCACAGACCCGAAGATTCTTCCTAATATGAATAGTTGTTCCAGGACTGGTATTTATGAGCCCAAAGACAATAGCCAGCTTCTCACTATGGGTATTCAGCAACCGTTCCTGAACATCACCTTCTACATCATGAATTGAATTGGCATCAGGGGTATATCCAGCTGCTTTAATCCTATCAATCAATTTCTCAAGGTAAGAGTAGATATGTTTGGATTGGGGATGATTTGTGCTTCCAGAATAGAACGTGTGCACCTCATTTTTCAAATCCACCAAACTACAGCCAGGGGTTTTCTGGATCCCAGTTTTCTCCATCATAGTTCTTACTTTAGCTACTTTGTCCCACATTGAAGCCGTGGCATAAATATTAGCAAGCAATACGTGATATCCACCATCATCAGGTTCCAACTCAAACAGCTTGTCAGCTGCCTTCTCTCCCAAATCAATATTTTTGTGAATCTTGCAAGCGCCCAACATAGCACCAAACACATTGAGTCCTGGCTGAACAGGCATGTTCTGAATGAAGTTCCAAGCTTCCTCAAGTCGACCAGCTCGACCAAATAGGTCAACAATGGCTCCATAATGATCCATTGAAGGCTCTAAGCCATATTCTTCCTTCATGATGGTAAAATAGCGGCGGCCTTTGTCTACAAGGCCTGAATGGCTGCAAGCTGAGATTATACATAAAAAAGTCACATCGTTTGGGTTGATACTGCCTATGCACATTTTATCAAATAATTCCACAGCTTCCTTTGCAAATCCATGTGTTCCATATCCATCTATCATAGCATTCCAAGTCGTAACATGCCTCTCATCCATCATATCAAATAGCTTCCTTGCTGTATGCACTGCTCCGCACTTTGCATACATGTCAACAAGAGCAGTCTTCAGATAAACATTCTTGTCCAAACCCGTCCTTATAGCCAGTCCATGACTCCACTTTGCTTGGCGCAACACTGATAACTCTGCTATAGCAGTTATAACACTGACCAGTGTGAATGAATCAGGTTTCATATTCAGCTGTTGCATTTTGCAAAAGAGATTAAGTGCTTCAATTATACGACCATTTTGTGCATATCCTAATAACATGGCATTCCACGATACAAGTGTTTTTCTTTGTAATTTATCAAACAATTGAGCACCTATATCAACTCTTCTGCACTTGCAATACATTGAAATTAAAGAGTTAGTCACAGTAACATCCGAATTAAGGTCCAATTCATTGACTAACTCATGAATATATTGACCACGTTTAAGATCACCCAAATCAGCGCAGGCATGTAGAGCTCCCATAACTGTAACATTACTTGGCTTTAATTTTTCAGCCAACATCTTATCAAAGAGCTCCAATGCTTCTTCAGAATTGCCACTTTGCGCATAACCATCAATCATAGTATTCCATGACACAACCGTTCTCATATCCATTATATCAAATATCAACCGTGCAGTCCCAACCAACCCACATTTTGAATACATGTCAATCAGAGCAGTTGCAACATTCACATATGACTCCAAACCCCGTCTCAGAATATACCCATGAATTGATTTCCCAACCCTTAAATTCCCAATTGCAGTAGAGGCAGGCAAAACCGAAACCACAGTAACCATATCAGGCATATGCCCTTCTTTTTGCATCAACACAATCAACTCCAACGCCTTCTTTGGCATCCCATTTTGAGCAAAACCAGCAATCACTGTATTCCAGCACACTAAATCCCTCTCAGGCATTCTATCAAACATTTTACAGGCCTCATTAATCAACCCACATTTCGCATACAAGTTAACCACACCAGTCATGGCAAACAAATTAGAAGAGAATCCATTTAATATCAACTGAGCATGAATTTCCTTACCCCTTTTAGCATCAAAACTATCCGCACAACCTTTCAATAAATACGTGAAATTATACACCACGGGAGCTACACTATCACACTTCATTCGACAAAAGAACTTGTAAGCATTAATCATAGTGTCTTGTTGTACATACCCTTTAAGGAGAGTGTGATACATGGGATCAGTCTTGGACTCAATGGGCTCGAATACTTTGCGGGCATCGTTTAGACTACCGAATTTGCAGAACAAGCTTACAATCTTGGTTTGGAAAAGTTGCTCACCGTAGAGGCCGTTTTTTATGACAAGAGGGAGGAATTGATGTAGTTCTTTCACGGAAGTGCAGAGCTCAAGAAGAATAGCCGCTGGATGTTTGTATACATGGGGAGGAATGTAGTTTCTTGGTGTCAGAAAAGGCGGCGGTGCCGCCGAGAGTGGAGGAGGTGCGGTGGCAGGTAGTATCAGTGAGCTCATTTGATTTTTTTATTTTTTTTTTTCAAGTGCTAATGCCACCATTGGCACTGGGTGAAAGTTTAGATAAGAATTTTTAAGTGGTCTCGTATATGGGCTCAAAATGGCAAATTGTGAAGGCCCAACTTAATTGGGCAACTTCAAAGGTTTCAGATGACATTTATTTTTTTGTTAATATGAACATGTCCAAGATAATAAAGAGGATATTAATATATGTACCTCAATATTTACATAAAAAATTACATAATGTTCACATGACATTCTACCATTTGTCGGTTTAAAATACAGTCAACTTTTCATCCATTTTTTTCCCTTTACGTCATTTTCGATAATCGTTTATGTACCATTTTTATGTATTATTAGCAAAATCCTAATAAAGAGTATGAAAAATCTCATGTTATGTTGGAACAATAAGTAAGTGGAATCAAGTTATTTATTATATGAATGATAGTTTTATACTTTTGTTTAAGTTGACATAGAAAGATTTGAACCTTAAGTTTTACTGAATTTATTTATTTAATATTTTGATTCTCATGTTATGTTATGTGAAATTCATGTCAAAATGTAAAATGAATATAAGAGTGGATATATTAACACCACATTATCTTACAAGTACTTCGAATGTTTCCTACATTTACTTATATCATATTTATGTCTATCATTTTTTTTTTTAATTACGTTCTTATCATTAACCTTCCACTAATTAGTAGAACTTGTATATATCGATGGTTTTTGTTTGAAAATTATGCTTAGCAAGTGTAAAAAGACTTGCCGTTTGTATTTTCATATAACTAAAAAATAACAAATACAAAAGTTCAACTAGATATTTTTTTCCTCATTTTAATGCATGCCAAAATAAAAATTTATGGAAGCATGAAGATAATAATGTAATGAAAAAGTTGAATAAAAAGTGTGACAATGTATAAAACTTAGGGAACTTTAATATAAAGCATTTATACAAAGTTGTAGTGTGAATATAATAACCTTATATAATATAAAAATTGTTAATCTATGTATCTGTTACTTATTCAAACAATTGTTTTGTGTTTGTTACTACTTCACCAAGTACTCGATACTTTCAAACTTGACACTTTGGTTTTCAAATACTATAACTCATCCAATTTCAATTCTAATTGATGAATTCTCGTTACTTCTAATCCTTTCTCGTCAATATTGAACTTTCTCTTAAAATAATCAATAAACACACTATCAATTAAGTATCTAAACTACAAAAACACTCCCCAACACCCACATTTAGTAGCTCGAATAAATGTAAAATCACATTTACCATGAGAGGTTTTCCACGATTTTGAAACCATATTTAATCATTGTTTTTCTCTCTTTGGCTCGTTTTATGTTTTCGCTACGTTAGGGTGGATTAATTTTTGTCCACCATTAAAGCTGTATAAGTTTGCACATAATATGTAGATAGATAGACAGAAAGATGAAAAGAAATCTGTTAACAGCTTCATAAATCAATTTTGAAGTTCAACAACCTGAAACTTGGAAGCGAATTTTTGATTGCTTGATAAAATTCCCATAGTAAGAACCATGAAGGGTTGACTTATACACACACACACACATAACAGTGTGCTTCGCCACCAATTTGTCCTAGAGACCATGTAAACCGTGTTGTTTAGTATGTTATCATTTTATTTTATATTTACATTATTTGCATACTCTATTTATGGCATATTAATTGGTCTATATAGGGCTCACATGATACCTTATTAATAGTAAATGAAACATCTTACATATCTTCATCTATGTTTCAATCTCATTCTGAAATTTAAATTTTCTTGTTCAATTATCATGTAAATTCTATTGTCAAACAAGAACTTCACGGTAAGTGTTGTTCGAGAAAAGAGGACAAAATCAAAGGACACAATCTTTAACTATAACACAAGAAATTAGTTTTTTTTTTTGTTTTTTTTATTTTAACATTATCCACCACTGTTCTAGGATTGGCGATTAATTGAGCAATGCTGAGATTATTGGGTTTGTTACCCAAATTAGGGTAGGTTTTTTTTTGGTAATAAATTATTTCCTTATTTTCATGTGGGAAAAATTGTTTCCTTATATTTCACGTGATTTTTTCATTCCACATTATTTCTATCTTTATGCTATGTTATATACCTATAAATAGTGGTATCTTCTTTCAGTTTTTTTTAAGTGAGATTGTTGAGTTCTTGTATTTCTCTCCATATTGTCGATTAATAAAACGTCGTGCTTCTGTGATTAACTCTTTTTGTTAATTTCTTTACTTTTAATATTTGTTTATCGTTGCGATCTTTATTACTTCATTAATCTCATTCATTACAATCATTCCGAGTCCAACAAATGATATCAGAGCTTGATTCTTGTTGTGGATTGATTAAGGTTTTTTGGAGATGGATGCTTTAAGTATGATATTTCTCAATTGAATCGCAAAACAATGTTTTCTTTGTGGCAAGTAAAGAGGGACGCTATTTTGGTGCAGTTGGATTTGGATGATGAGTTGTTGAATTTTGAGAAGATACCATCTAATTGGACAACGAAGGGGAAACAACGGGGGAATAGAAAAGCTTCATCGTTGATTTATCTTCATCTATCCAACAATATTTTGTAGGATGTCTTGAAAGAGAAAACAACATCTGCTTTGTGATTAAAACTGGAGCAGTTATGTATTGCCAAGAGTCTTATAAGTAAATTGGCTCTAAAGCAGAAACTGTATGCCTATCGCATGGCAGAATGATAGTCATTAGAAGACCATATTACCGTGTTCAAGGAAATTGTCGTAGATTTGGAGATGATGGAGGTTAAGTACAATGAAGAGGATCTTGCCTTGATCCTATTATGTTTACTGCTTGGCTCTTATGCGTCGTTTCGGAACACCATTTTGTATTTTCATATAACTAAAAAATAACAAATACAAAAGTTCAACTAGATATTTTTTTTCCTTATTTTAATGCATGCCAAAATAAAAATTTATGGAAGCGTGAAGATAATAATGTAATGAAAAAGTTGAATACAAAGTGTGACAATGTATAAAACTTAGGGAACTTTAATATAAAGCATTTATACAAAGTTGTAGTGTGAATATAATAACCTTAATGTAATATAAAAATTGTTAATCTGTATATCTTTTACTTATTCAAACAATTGTTATGTGTTTGTTACTACTTCACCAAGTACTTGATACTTTCAAACTTGACACTTTGGTTTTCGAATCCTAGAACTCATCCAATTTCAATTCTAATTAATGAATTCTCGTTCCTTCTAATCCTTTCTCGTCAATATTGAACTTTCTCTTAAAATAATCAATAAAAACGCTATAAATTAAGTATCTAAACTACAAAAACACTCCCCAACAACCGCATTTAGTAGCTCGAATAAATGTAAAATCACATTTACCATGAGACGTTTTCCACGATTTTGAAACCATATTTAATCATTGTTTTTCTCTCTTTGGCTCGTTTTATGTTTTCGCTACGTTAGGTTGGATTAATTTTTGTCCACCATTAAAGCTGTATAAGTTTGCACATAATATGTAGATAGAAAGACAGAAAGACGAAAAGAAATCTGTTAACAGCTTCATAAATCAGTTTTGAGGTTCAACAACCTGAAACTTGAAAGCGAATTTTTGATTGCTTGATAAAATTCCCAGAGTAAGAACCATGAAGGGTTGACTTATACACACACATAACAGTGTGTTTCGCCACCAGTTTGTCCTAGAGACCATGTTAACCGTGTTGTTTAGTATGTTATCATTTTATTTTATTTTATTTTTACATTATTTGCATACTCTATTTATGGCATATTAATTGGTCTATATAGGGCTCACATGATACCTTATTAATAGTAAATGAAACATCTTACATATCTTCAGCTATGTTTCTATCTCATGCTGAAATTTAAATTTTCTTGTTCAATTATCATGTAAATTCTATTGTCAAACAAGAACTTTACGGTAAGTGTTGTTCGAGAAAAGAGGACAAAATCAAAGTACACAATCTTTAAATATAACACAAGAAATTAGTTTTTATTTTAACATTATCCACACTGTTCTAGGATTGGCAATTAATTGAGCAACGTTGAGATTGTTGGGTTTGTGACCTAAATTAGGGTAGGTTTTTTTTTGGTAATAAATTATTTCCTTATTTTCATGTGAGAAAAATTGTTTCCTTATATTTCCCGTGATTTTTTATGAAAACATAGTATTTCCTCATTCCACATTATTTCCATTTTTATGCTATGTTATGTACCTATAAATAGTGATATCTTCTTTCAATTTTGTTTAAGTAAGATTGTTGAGTTATTGTATTTCTCTCCATATTGTCGATTAATAAAATGTTGTGCTTTTATGATTAACTCTCTTTGTTAATTTCTTTACTTTTAATATTTGTTTATCGTTGCGAGCTTTATTACTTCATTAATATCATTCATTACAATCCTTCAGGGTCCAACAAATGGTATCAGAGCTTGGTTCTTGTTGTGGATTGAGTAAGGTTTTTTGGAGATGGATGCTTTACGGATGGTATTTCGCAATTGAATCACAAAACAAGGTTTTCTTTGTGACAAGTAAAGATGGGCGCAATTTTGGCACAATTGGATTTGGATGATGTGTTGCTGGATTTTGAGAAGATGCCATCTAATTGGACAACGAAGGGAAAACAACGGAGGGATAGAAAGGATTCGTCGTTGATTCATCTTCATCTATCCAACTATATTTTGTAGGATGTCTTGAAAGAGAAAACAACGGTTGCTTTGTGATTGAAACTAGAGCAGTTATATATGACCAAGAGTCTTACAAGTAAATTAGCTCTAAAGCAGAAACTGTATTCCCATCGCATGACAGAATGAGAGTCATTAGAAGACCATATTGCCGTGTTCAAGGGAAATTGTCGCAGATTTGGAGATGTTGGAGGTTAAGTACAATGAAAAGGATCTTGCCTTGATCCTGTTATGTTCACTGCCTGATTCTTATGCGTCGTTTCGGGACACCATTTTGTATAGTCGGGATCTTTTGACTATAGAGGACGTCTATGATACTTTGC